AGAAGTACTACAGAATAATATATTTCTATATATTTGACTAAACACGACTGATAAATTCTAATAAAATTCTTAACAATATTGTAAAATGTAATTTATACTACACAATATTTAAAAGTTATGATAACATTATATTTATATACACACACACAAAATCTGTACATTTTTATAGATGTATTCATAAACTGCAAATGATTCTGACCTGTTGTGAGTCATGTGACTTTTGACCAAGTGTCCAGCAGCGAGGGCAGACATGAGTGACAGCTCTCCCGCGAGCACAGTGGCACACACCACCTTGGCGAGCTGACGGGCGTTTTCACCTGGACACTCCTGACTGGCACCCAGAACACCTAACATCTGCCAGAATCACAGATAAAGAATAAAACTACTTGAGACTTCTTTCTCCATATATATCCAAACTGACACTAAAATATCCTTGTTTTAAAGGGTTAGTTCACACAAAATGAAAATTCTGTCATCATTAGCCTTTGAGACATAGATTAAGAGATTTTAGATGAAATCAGGGAGCTCTCTGAGCCTCCATAGACAGCAATGGCCATGAGACAGTTAAGGAACCAAAAACATTGTCAAAGCATTCCACATGATTTCAGAGGTGGAACTAAAATCATACAAAGCTCCAAAATACTTCTGTAAACATGACTTTGTTTGCTAATCTTCATTCCCACATTAGGTCAGAGTGTGCGTTAACTACAGCCAGTATGACATATTACCATTAGAGTCTAATCTGACCTGATATGGAAGTCAAAGGCAACAGTTTTTCAGTTTATTTTGGCACACAAAAGTCTTCATAGAGCTCATATGATTACATTGGCACCACTCATGTCCAATGCAGTGTTTTTGGTTCCTTTTCTGAACATTTCGGGACCATTGCTGTCAATGGAGGATGAGAGAGCTCTCTGATTTCATCTAAAACATCTAACTTCCTCAAAGTTTAATTAAGGTGTCAGAGAATTTTAATGATTTGAGGGTAATTAATGACAGGATTTAATTTTTGGGTAGAGTTAATCATCCCAAATCCAGCGGAAATACCTTTAAACAGGCCTGTTGAGGAGGAAGGTTAGTGCCTCCACCCACAGTGCCCAGCTCAATGGAGGGCATAGTGCAGCTGATATACAGATCCTCCCCTGTAGCTCCTGAAGCCTCCATTAAAGTGATACAGTTAGAGCTGCCCACTGTCTGCGCCGGGTCCTGTCAGGGACAATTTCATATGTAAACATCTGCATCTACTGTAAATCTATAATCAGATATCATATTCCTTATCAAACTCATACTGTAAATAACATCGATTTTATTACCTGTCCACAAGCAATATAGATAGCAGCTACGATGTTGGCGGCGTGAGCGTTATAACCACCAATGCTTCCAGCCATCGCAGATCCAACCAAATTCTTGCTGATGTTCACGTCCACCAGAGCCTCAGTCGACGTCTTTAAAATCTGAGCAGAAACAGTTGTGTGAGACTCGTGGATTTATATTTTTTTAAATGTACATTTATATTGCACTGAAGGAAAGACTTTAGGTGAATAGGGTACAAAATGAACTTTATCAACATACTACATCAGGGTAAATGCAGGAATCCTAAAGGTCATTTCAATATTTTTTAAGAGTTTTTAAAGACCTTAGAATATTTTAAGATCTCATGGCCACTTCTAATCAATATCAAAACCTTAACTAAATAAACAGTTGTAGTTAAATAAATCAATGGAGCACAACCCTGCAACGAAACTTTTGAAATAATTAATTATGTGATTGTTTTTAGTGACAGGCTTTAGTCACTGTTTAAACTCATCTTTCTCCAACCAGGAGTACGTAAACTTACATTTTCCCACTCTGCCATCACCCAGATGGAGAAGCTTGGTCGGATGCGCCCTAGCCCGAACGAATCGTGTGGATCGAGCATGCCATGTTGTTAATATTAGGAGGAAAATAAATATATTTATGCTTTTGTGAAGTCAAACACTTTGGACAAAGCTTAAACAAAATTTTAAATCTCGTAAAAACGCGATTTAGACTTACTAATACCTATATTTTCTCGTAATTGATTTATCAACCTTTAATACTTTTTAAGAGCTTGTGGACACCCTTTTCATTGCGTTTTCTAAAGTATGCGAATGAGTTTGCGAATGACTTTGATGACTTTGTTTGATTAGATATGTGCTAATCTGCACACATTTCTAGCACACAAATCTGAATGTTGGTTCCAAATTTAAGCAAGAATCTGTCTTTTACAGAAATTAAAAAAATATTAAGAAAACCAGTGCACGATATTAGAAAAATTAGGCATTGCAATATTTCGTTTTTGTGCGATATATATTGCGATACGAATACAATTTGCCCAGACAGCTTTTATAGCTCTGTTTTGGGGGGAAATCATTCATTTTGATTGATTGGGTTAATTTTGTAAGGATGTGAATCATGTATAAAAATAAACTACTTGCAACCAAGAATAATTACAATAGAGCAAAGAAAAAACTGCTTTATGGGTTTCCTGAAGAGTCAAACAGTATTCAGGTACAGAAATTGAATAATAAAGTTTACAATACCACTATACAGTCTTCATTGTATTAATAGTTCAGTAAATTTAGTGTTCATTAAAGTTACAAATGTTGTACATTATTGTGCCTGAATACTCTTGAAAAGCCTTTAGAACGCATGCAAATGATCAATGTGGTATGGTTATACTTGGCAATGACTTCACAAGTCTCATGAGTTCCCAATTGTTGATTAATTAGAAACACAACACAACATTGGAAATTTTGCGATGTGACTATTGCAAACACGCACATCGTGATATCGATGCTGAAATGATATGTTGTAGGGCCCTAAAGAAATCAGTAGTTTTATGCTGTAATTGTGTAGGCGCACAATCTTCAGAATGTAAATATGCAAAAACTATATTATTTGGTTTATGTAGGTGCAGCTGAAGTAAAGATTTATAGCTTTATAAGAAGACAATAAAATTTTCACTGCAATTGGAATCTACAAAAACAAAAAATAATGTGTGAAAAAAATCATTAAAACTTAATTTGAGATGTTTTCTTTATATTATAATAAAAAAAAACTTTATGATGGGCCAAAAAGCCTAAAACCTCAATAGTGTAACTCCTTAAACAAGTAAATGCAATGCAGATTAATGAAGGAATCATAAGGCTTCATTTACAAGTAGCAGGGTGTTTACAGCTACTGTATAGTTCTGTCTTTTCACATCCCGTCCCTTTGCGCAGTCGCAAAATGCTGTTACACCTAAAAACTCGTTCTTAATCCCTTACTGCCACAGCAGCAGCACAGATGGCGGTAATGGTCCTTTTGAAGTGTCACCCACTGTATATTACAGTTTTGTCAGCAGTAAGTTTTGCAGATTTGAATGAAGCTGTGTACCTCTTTAACCACTTTGGCTGGAATGGTGGTCTCACACACCACTGACTTGCCCCTTCCCTCAATCCAGTTGATGGCGGCAGGTTTTTTGTCAGTACAGTAATTTCCACTAACAGCCAAAACCTGGAGCTCTGGAAATTCCTCCTTCAGTCTGGCGAGAGCTTGTTCTGTGCCCTGGTGAACGCAGAGAAAAGAAATGAGTGACGGGGTTTCACAACGCTTTGTATTTAAATAGTGGAAAAATACAATTCGGCATACCTTTGAGATCATGTTCATTCCCATTGCGTCTCCTGTTCTGGACTGAAAGCGAATATACAAGTTGCGACTTGCCAGGCCAATCAGAAGCTTCTCTAATCGTGCAAACCTACACAAAAAAAACGCAAATATAAAGTTAAATAAATGTACACAAAAATGGAAATTTAAAGCTCTTGTGAAGTGCTTAAAAATGTGAATTTTTATTCAGTGTTTGGTGTAATCTCAATTGAAACATAAAAAAGGGGCTGGAACATGGTGTAACCACTCCCCCTTAAAAAAACAGCCAATACCCATGAAAGTGTCAAATCAAATGTGAAGGGGGCAGGACATGTCAGATACTAGAGAACATTTGATTGGTCAAGGTTTGATGAAAGGTGTGAAGAAATGACAATCTATAAGCTTTACATGTTTATATAAGTGTATATCTCTTAAATGTACATTTTTGTCACAGTTTTGGTGCGCACTAGCTTATAGATTTATGAAATACTGATACTAAAGTCTAAAAAAACGTTGTTTTAATTTAATGGGACCCTAAAAGACCAAATGTGCTAACAGCTTGCGCCAATGCAAACCCTCTTTTGCTATTAAAAACTACTGTCAGGACTATTGAACGACTGTCACACTAAAGACATCCAGTAAAGACCCAGATACCTCAAACTAATCAAACAGATATTAAACAAAAATATATTTGGGAGGATTGGTGCGAGTGCTTAAAATTGTTGTGTGCGACCAGTTTTTACTGCAAAATGTTCACCACATGCGCGGATTCGCGAGACATTCACGCAGAATGCATCTCTAAGCTCTTTTTCTGCACTTGAAACGCGAAACGCAGTGCTCGGAAATGGTTTAAAACAGTTGAAATGTCAACTTGCTGCAGTAAACGAAGCTAAGTCCGTAATGCTTGCCCCGCCTTCGCACTCTTCTTATTGGCCCACCACTGCTCTAGCACTGAAATATCAGCTGTCAATCACTCAGTCAGTGCCTTCAGGCTTGGGATGACAGAGAGAGCTACTACCGCGAAAAAATGTAAAGCGCTGAAGATGAGAATGAAGATAAAACTGACAGGTTTTGTTTTAGAAACCATGACATCTAAAGTTATAAATAATGACATCCTACTAGTGATCATGTGCTGAATGTTAATCCAACATCTACACTTATCGAAGAGTGGATAAAAGACTTCCGTTGGCTTCAAGTCCGCTATGAAAAGTCTGTGGGATGGAATTTTCAGGTAACTGTTTGCCACATCTAGCACGAGAGCTTCTGATTAATCCTTCCAATCATCGCCAGATGCTGTCCGCCATGCAAGTGGCAGCTATATGTCAAGTTGAACACCACGTACACCATCGCAAACGGGCTTGCACTGAGTAAACTGATATTGCTACTCATAAAAAGACTGGTATTGCTATTAACATGACGTATGCATATGATAAGGTACAGTATATGTCAAAAGCATCAGTGCAATATCTGACACCACAGCACAGTTATAACGTTAACAGATTCATTCATTTCAAGCAGTGCGTGCAGGGCTGGTGAGCGGTCCGTGTATGCTTTGTTCATTCAGTTATGTTATAAAAATCTATTTTCTTACAGAATATATATATATAGATATATATATATATATATATATATATATATATTTTTTTTTTTGCTTGTTAGTTTGATTAGTGTTGATTTCAAATGCAATAAATCTGTTTGTATAAAACTTGTTGTAACGGTGCTTATAATTGGTGTGTGCGACTAAATTTTGGCTGATGTGCCTACATTTTTAAAGTTAGGAGCACCGGTGCTACCAAGCAAAAAGGTTAATTTCGAGCCCTGTGCTTGATTTAACATTACTAGTGATTAAAACCCCTTGAATTTGGTGTCCATGAAAGAACCTTGTTTGTAATTCTGGCTGTAAATGGATTTACTGAAATAGTGCCGTACCTGCTGGTCTGGTCAAAGGCCTCCTTGATGGTCTTGAAGCCCTCGGGACTCTCCAGCCAGGCCTTGACTTCAGCCGCTTGACAGGCAGATGGAAAACGCACCACTGGCCCTCTAGTCATCCCATCTGCAAGAACACGACTGCTAGCACCACCTGCCAACTGTAGGAAAGCCATTCATGAGTGCGCATTAGATTAATGTGCTTTCCTAGACATTATGCAACATTACATCAGTGCAGGAGGGTGTGAAATTGCCTACTGCTCATCAAACAAACTCATCTATGGCGGAACGTTCAGCTTACAGCTATCGCTCTGCAGCCTCTGTTTGTGCTGGCGACTAGGCAGCCTTCAGTTGTCGCCATCGGGACCTGGAACTGCTTTCCATCCAATAAAAGAGGACCAGCAACGCCCACAGGAACTGGCATGTAACCGATGACGTTTTCACAGCATGTGCCCATCACCTAGAACAACATGCAAACCAATGAGGATCTTTCCATCAAGGGGTCCAAAAATCCTAATAAACCTGCCAATGATTTGGGGGGCTGCCAGGGCTGCTATTCAATATGTAAATGTTTGTTGCTTTCCAGTTTCTAGGTAGTTACTTTGTTATTTCCTTTTAAAGTATGGTAGCAAATGTTTTTTAGTGTTATGAAAGATTCATATTTCAAACAAATGCTGCACATTGAAGCTCAGTAGAAGTCGTCTCATCATTCGGTGCGGACAGTGGTATAGAGTGAGTGTTATATTTATTTTTAAGCGTATGTTAGTTTAGTTTTGATACATTTCTTGCTAGAAGGCAGGAATGATTCCTTCCCTTGTTTAAAGTAAATTTGTCTTTGCATTTTATTAGCTGCGCTTACTTGTGAAACGTTTTGAAAGCATTTGTAAATTAGGGATCATTTAGGAGGCTTGGTTTCAATTTGCGAACTTTAGGCTTTTGTTTGTGTAATTAGTAAAGGATGTGAGCGGCGAAGTGTAATACATTTAAGTGGGTTAGCTGTTTGTCCAGGCTCAGTAGAGGTCATCTCAGTGTTTAGTGCATAGGGCTGGCCAATCCTGGAGTATGAGGAGCGCTATCCTGCTGAGGGATTTGTCCACTCCTATGATAATGAGCAGCACAAATGTCTTGATACCTCAGGCTGTTGATGTTGCCATCCACTCTGCAGATCTTTCGTTCGCCCCCATACTAAATGTAACTCTAAACCATGATTTTTCCTTCACCAAACTTGACTGATTTTTTTAAGAATCTTGAGTCCATGTGGATTCCAATAGGTCTTCTGCAGTATTTGTGATGATTGGGATGCAGCTCAACAGATGATTCATCAGAAAAGTCTGCTTTCTGCTACTTTTCCAAATGATCAAATAAAAGTCAAGCTATTATTTGTTACAACTGGGATCAACAACAAGACTTTTGTCAAGTTGTGTATATATTGTTCAAGTGTTATATTGTTACGTTACAACAAAAAGCTGGAATTATGACTAGCAAAACAAACTAACTTTGAATCACAGGAATTCATTACATTTACTGAGAAACCACATAGCAAAATGTGGAAGTTTTTTCTTTCTTTTCGCCGTGCGTTATTAAAATCCATAACACTCTCACGATTCCTTACCCCTTATTTGCGTCTAATAATCCAGTTTGTCACAGGGGCATAAATCAAATGTTCATGAGTGAATGTGAAACTGCCAAACTGCAGTTAAAATCAGCCAAAATTAAAAGAAACTCTTACATGAAAGCACTTCACATAATCACCTTAATTATATTATTGTCTATTACGGCAAATAAGTCAGTAGTGTTTTCGAAGTAAGTGAAAGATCCAAGAGGGCGTCCTGCTGATTTGATTCAGAAGGGCACTTTTTTTGTCAGATGACTCACTGGTCATCTACGCTAAAATATCAAGGTAAAAGTCATCATAGCTTTTGTAGAATAAACCCAGCTCCCAACCCAACTTTGAGAATAGATTAGGTGCGATATTTTTTTATTGCGCAATAAGTTTTGCGTTAACGCAGCACGGTAATGCCGATAACGGCCCACCACTAATTTAAATACAGAGCAGTTCATTTTAATTACGTTTTATATTGTATTTTTGATCAAATAAATGCAGCCTTACTTAAAAAAAACAAACTAAAAGCCATTGAATATCATTGCACAAACTTAAAATATCAAATGTAACATCAGTGCATCTCTGGTTTATTACATTTGCATCACCTCTCATTAATTTATATATGATGCGATGATCTATTGCTCACCTTAGAGTAATCGTAGTCTTTATAAGGCAGGCAGGAGAGAGTCGAAGGCTCGGGGAATTTGGGACTGAGCATTTTTCTCCGAATCATCACTCCTCTCTCAGGGGTCTCCATCATGGCCTCCAGTTTGTAAGCTGGGATGTGCTTGGAGTTCACCAACACAATGACCTCTTCATCGCTGAGGTACCGAGCGCCCATCTGCACAGTCAAAAGAGGAAACGCTTAAGTACTCCCACACAGACGTGTGATTATTTTTGGATTTTGTACCAGAAGTGTGTTCTTCGAGGTCAATAGTTTCACTACATGCCTCTGATCCTTTCCAACGTCAGAAACTAATTGGCTAAGAGTAAGAGTGTAAAGTGTAAGAGGAGGATCTCATTAGCAATTACAAGTGTTAACCCTGAGGTAAAAAATAACTAAAGGTTTCGGTCTCGCAGGGAAACCAAGGTTAATCTTGTTGCAGGAAAGAAAAAAGCAATAGTATCCACATTTTTCTTATGCCCTATGATGCTTTGGGTGAATTAAGAGAGGAACTTCAATAAAACTAAACTATATGTGAAGTGTTTCAAAAAAACAGGGTATGTGGTGACTTTCAGCAGAGCACAAATAATCCCTCGCAGACGTGTTAAATATTACTGTACTGTAGGGAATACAAAGAAAAAAATCTGGTGGTATAAAACAATTAATTTAAAAAAAAGTGCTTTGTAATTTCAAAAACGTGCTTTGGTCATGGATATGCTAGATACTAATATTATGCAAAAACACGAAGCGTAACTTTATTTTCATGACCAATAAAAAAGCCAAACCTCTCACTCATTTTTCACTATGGCTGCGTCTGAAATCATCTACTACTCAGTAGGTACTGCATTGGTATTTGTACTACTCGGCCATTAGAAAAGTATGTTTTATACCAGGGGTGTCCAAACTCAGTCCTGAAAGGCCGGTGTCTTGCATAGTTTAGCTACAACTTGCTTCAACACACCTCCCTAGAGGTTTCTAGAAAGAGCTTTATTAGCTAGTTCAGGTGTGTTTAATTGGGGTTGGAATTAAAATATGCAGAGTTTGAACACCTTTGTTCTATAAAGTATGAATGTCAGTAGTATGAATAGAACTCGGACGCACCACATCAGCCATTTTGTCATCATCACATGACCTCTTTGCGTCAGTTGCGTAGCTTTACTCCCATTCATGAATTCTCTCAGGGACACCATGGGAAAGCCTAGCAACCATTAGATGCCCACTTCAGAATCTTGCCGAAAGTAGTAGGTGATCCGAGTACTTCTTGCATACAGTTTTTCTAATTTTTTGAATTCATACAAATTGTACTACTCAGCTCGCATACTGTTTATAGCGTACATTATAGTAGGGAAGTTTGCGACTTTCGACGCAGCCTATGTATATGGATTATTTGTAACACAATCTTTTTATTTTAAAGTCCATGAGAATTATGGATGCCTACTTTTATTTTAATATATTGATTTACTTCCACTTTCCCAGTGTTGGGTTGTGGCTGGAAGTACATCCACTGCGTTGAACATATGCTGGATAAGTTGGCGGGTTATTACGCTGTGGCGACCCATGATTAATAAAGGGACTAAGCCGAAAAGAAAATGAATGAATAAATGAATTTACTTTCAACTGAAATGGAATATTGAGTAGGGGGCGGGGCTTTCTTTTTGCGCATAATTCCCTCTTAAACAACAAACGGTTATGGGGTGTGTTTAAGAATATTGTGTCTGATGCCGTCAAACTGACGTCAACAGAGAAGAACCACCATTCCAAATGCAGAAGCAAATGGTCGGATTTTGATTGAAGATTACAAAACAATTTTTTTTTCAGTGGATTAACTTAAACATGAATTGTTTACCTAAAGGATAACAATGTTCGCAAGCAAAATAACCATATAATTTTGATTTTACACAGATTTTAAGTGATTTGTTTAATGTTTTCCCCAAACTGCAATTGCAACTTATGATTTGAAATAAACAAATATTGTATAGCTGTAGAAATGGATATTTGTCAAAGATCTTACATCTGGGTTTTTCAGAATGGACAGACAGTCTTCCACAGGTCTCGGTTCAGCAGGTAAACTCATCACAGGCTCCGACACATGAGTGTTTTCCTGAGTTTCATCCTCTCCCAGAACAAAAGTGCTTTTTTGCTCAGGTTCTTTCGGTGCAGGCAGGGGTCGAATCACTAAATCTAAAGGAGATGATTTGCAGTTAGACTCTGTTAGAGAACGAAAACGTAAGAAAATTAAATTTAAACGTAAGAAGGAAATACCTCTTTCTTCTTTGGTAACAATTGGAGGGGGAGTTGGGGGTTTGTCAAGCTTGGTGGAATAGGGGATTTCTTTCCTGCAGCATTGATCCGGAGACCATTTCTGAGTGAGCATGGAGCTTGGAGTGGGCACTTTAAGGGACAGAGTGGACTCCATCTCCACCTGCTCAAAGAAAATGTACTTCACAGCCAGGAAGAGGGCGAGACCCAGAGTGATGACCTGCTCAATGTCCATGCTGATCATCCTGAATGCAAAAAAAGAAAAGGAAATAATAGTTATTTCATGCTCTTCTTATTGCTATTATTATTAAAATGCAATGTATCAATACCATATTGATTATCTGCTAATATTCTTCTTTAACTGCACATGCTGATTTCTCCAACTCTGACATTTAGACTAACTTTGCTGTGATTTACCATTCACTAAACCTGTGTTTCCCAACCACGTTCCTGAAGGCCCACCAGCACTGCATGTTTCCTTTGTCTGTCACACCCATTACAGGTCTTTCAGTCTCTGCTGAAGAGCTGATCATCTGAATCAGGTGTGTTTGGTTAAGGAGACATGAAAATGTGCAGAGCTGGTGGTTATCCAGGAACGTGGTTGAGAAAGACTGCACTAAACTATATATAAACTATTAAGCTAAACTATACCTAATCTTTGACAAACTTTAAAATGAATATCTGTTTTTCATAATGTAATTAAATTCTGTTATAAAAACAGCATTATTATAATGTGACTAAATTCTCTTTAGAAACTTTTTTTTACCTTTGGAATTATATTATTATTAATGTTATGTATGTTTATACACTTATTTTATTAATTTATTTTATTAATTTGCTCTCATAGTTCACTGACAAGTTTTGTACAGTAAATATGCTCATATTTTACAAGTGAGAAATTTTTGAATGAAGGGTGCACAGCTTGATTTTAAAATAATTGAAGTAAACACACACTATCCACTATATATGATTATTTATTGAACATCAACACTGAACAACTATTAAAACACACATTGCCTAAAACACGGCTCTCCACGCCGCCCACCCTCATCACTACTACCAAACCGACCAATCACAAAGCTTGTGCTACGCATCATTGTGACGTGTAGTTAAATTTTTTTGAGAGGTGCGTTGGTATGCGGAGGCTGCGCTGGATTGTACGCGTGCGCTTGGAAGAAGTATAATATTGAAATAATATAATAAATAATAATCATTATTAACAATTATTATAAATTATAAATTAGGCTTAACAGAGTGGAGTCATGTGACTCCACACATGGTAGGGAAGGTAATTGAAAAAATTAGATCGATTATAGCTTCTCGATGTCGGTTTCGATTACTTTTCCATTAATCGCCCAGCCCCATTTACAAATATTTATTCTTAATTTAAGTATTTAATATCCTTCCCTAATTATAATTATTATTTAAATTATAAACAATGCAACATGAGATATTTAAAATTTAAAATAATATTTTTAACATTTAAAAAATGTTACAAATATTGTACTTTTTATTGTTAATATAGTAATTTGAATTATTAATGTTTTAATTAGGCAAAGCAGTGGCGCAGCAGGTAGTGCTGTCGCCTCACAGCAAGAAGATCACTGGGTCGCTGGTTAGAGCCTCGGCTCAGTTGGCATTTCTGTGTGGAGTTTGCATGTTCTCCCTGTGTTCGCGTGGGTTTTCTCCGGGTGCTCCGGTTTCCCCCACAGTCCAAAGACATGTGGTACAGGTGAATTGGGTAGGCTAAATTGTCCGTAGTGTATGTGTATGTGTGTGTGTGAATGTATGTGTGGATGTTTCCCAGAGATGGGTTGCGGCTGGAAGGGCATCCGCTGTGTAAAAACTTGCTGGATAAAAGGGACTAAGCCGACAAAAAAATAAATGAGTGAATAAATGTTTTAATTATAAATATTTTTTCAAATAATTTAAATGTACTACTCAGAATTTACTAGTTATTGTTTAAGAAAATCTGTTGTAATCTTCTGATGCATAAATATAAAACATTTCAACATCTGAAAATAACTGAAAGTGATCAAATATAAAATGTGTCCAAACAAAACCTCAGAAATGTGCTCACCTGGACAGGTAAAAGTGCCACAGGGGCATGTCAGGCTCAATCCTCTTGGGCAGATTTTCATTCAGGCTCATTCCAACTTCAGGAAGATCAAGAGTTCCATCACTTGATGCAGGATCTGCAATCCACCGACTATGAGCATGAACCATCACCAAGCCCAGAGACTGCAATTATAATTAAAGAGACACACCATCAATATCATAAACCCACACCTCAAGATACTGCAAAGTTTTTGTTCAATGCTCACCATGATCATTTTGACTCTCTGTGTGACAGGGTTAGGCTTGTTGTCCTCTTCTTCCTCTAATACTCTAGCAAAGTGACTTAGCTGCCAAATGGGTCTGCCTTCTCTGCTCTCTCTAGACAACTATGTGAAGTAAATATACGTTAGAGTATGAACTGTAAGTCTTCCTACATTAGTAGAGTATTAACACTCAAATATTCCACATACCTCCAATACAAGAGAAACACAGGCCGGGAAGAAGGTCATAAATACAAAGTAGTTGGCCAAGACAGACATGCAACCAAAGCAGCACATGATCTCGAGCTGTCGCACACCTGCAAGAAAATAAAATTCACTATTTGTTTAATGTTGGTGAATTCCATCTGTGCAGGTTTTTTGTCTCATTTCCCCCCAAGCAGTTTGGTGTTTATAAGATTGCCTAACAGATGTCTAAACATAGACAGTCTTTATGTGTTGACATTCATTCCTGTCATTTTTAGGCTAATGTTAGATATAGGAAGCAATGTATCGGTGACCATATCGATATCAGCCGATAAAAGATATTTTTAAAAACTATGTTGTTCAATGTATGTGCTAGTGCTTTGATTTGCAACTATGCTGAAAAATGTGAAAATATTTCTATTTATATTTATCAACTAATGTATCACCTATTGGCCTCCAAATCTGAAGAGTTATAGGCAGGGCGGGCGCGTCCATAGAGGCAACCTAGGCGGCCGCCTAGGGCGGCAGTATAGAGAGGGCGGCGTCCGCAACACCCCCCTTACCACCCTCGTCTTCACTTCTCAGTGATGTCCGCGACACCTCCCTCACCACCCGCGTCCTCAGATATATTCGCGCATAGGCGACAGAATAGAGAGGGCAGCGTCAGTGAGCGACACCTCCAACAGCGCCCGCTTGTCCTCAGTTATATCCGCGCATAGGGCGCCAGAATAGAGGTCCGCAACATCTGTGCGTCCTCAGTTATTTCCGCACATAGGGCAGCAGAATAGAGGTCCGCGACACCTTACTTCATTTTCATACCCGGTCACTTTCGTTTTCACATTGGGGTTGAGGGCGGCGTGATCGTCCTCTGCCTAGAGCGGCAGTTCAGCTTGCTCCGGCCCTGGTTATAGGTTATCGGTGTGGTTAATGTTAGATATAGGAAGCTATATATCAGTGGCTATCTCTATATCGGCCGATAAATGGTATTTTTAATGTTATTGTTATCGGTCTGGGAACAGAATTAGGCAGATATCTTTAAGCTGATAAATTATGTGTTATTTCTGTTGGTTGAAACACTTGCTGCCTGTCACTTTTTAATATTATTTAGCTGGTATTTTGAGTTTCGATTACTGGTATTTTGATTTTAGCTCAAGTATAGTGACATGTTTGCTTTATTTATGCATAATTTTTTGGTCAGGCAACTTTTTTTTGAAAGTTGGCCATAAAAAAACATTACTAAATTTCAGCGATCAGTTCAAACTCTCTTTAAGTTAAGTTCTTTAAAAAACTATGTTGTTCAATGTATGTGTTAGGCTTTTGATTTTGCAATCATGCTGAAAAATTAGAAAATAATGATATTAATATTTATCAAGTAATTTATCAGCTATTGGCCTCCAAATCTAAAAAGTTATTGGTTATTGGTATTGGTAATGTTAGATATAGTAAGCAATATATCTGTGGCTATATCGATATTGGCCGATAAATGGTATTTTAATGTTATCGTTATCGGTCTGGGAACAGAATTAGGCAGATAAATTATGTGTTATTTCTGTTGGTTGAAACACTTGCTGCCTGCCTGATTTTCGACTACTGGTATTTTGATTGTAGTTCACTTACAGTGACATGTTTGCTTTATTTATTCATAATTTATTGGTTAGGCAACTTCTTTTTGAAAGTTGGCCATATATAAAAACATCGGTTCATCCAAAGTTACACATTATATTTCAGATTTTCACTGGCAGCCCAAATGTAGCCTTGTTTTTGCCAAGATGTCTATTAAGACATTTATTACACATCTGTTAAACACAATAATGCTTGCTGGGTTGCCTTTCTGAAGCTCAGTAACAGTGTAGAATGGAACTAGAAATGACCAAGGTTATGAGTTTGATAAAATTGCACATTTTGAAGTGTATTTTTAATGCAATGCAAGTAATTTGGGATAAAAGGGTCTGCCATATTCATAAATGAGGGGTAAAATTTACCTGACATTGTCCCCACACCAATCACCAGGCACTCCACGAGGGCATCAAGAGTGAAAGTGGGTCCCAAAACAGCCATTCCTTTGGCAATATTTTCTCTAACCTCATCCTGCAGGACGGATTAAAACAAAGAAAAGGTTAGTCACATTTATTCAAACCTTAATTTAAAAATATAGGCGAAAAGGTTAAGTACCTGTGAGTTTGAACTCAGAGCAAACTTGGCCAAAGCACAGGCTTTAGAGAGGTCAATCAACAGCAGAAAGAATGGCAAGGCCTCACTGGGGTAATGGTTAAAGTAATAAGAGCATTTAATTTATTTACAACGACATTTCCTTAATAAAAATTCAAGTGAGAGAGAAACATACTTGAGGCCTGTCAGCTCTTTGTCAAGGAAGTGAATCACTACAGTGCTGAACACAAAACTGGAGAATATTGTGAAAAGACCTGCAATGCCTAAAAACAAACAACAACAAAAATTAACTAGATTCTTAAAGTTTGAGAACAAACTTTGAGGCTGGCTTGTGAAAGCCTGACGGTAATTGTTTATTTAGTTTAAACAGTTTTAAAAAGTATGAAAAGATAGATAGATAGATAGATTAGCATGTTATTAGCATGATTCTAGCGTGAAATAGCATGTTGTTAGCATGATTCTAGCATGAATTAGCATTTTACTAGCATCATTTTAGCATGAATTAGAATGTTGTTAACATGAATTAGCATGTTACTAGCATGATTTTAGCATGAATTAGCATGTTGTTAGCATGATTCTAGCATGAATTAGCATGTTTTAGCACGATTCCATTATGAATTAGCATGTTACTAGCATGATTTTAGCATGAATTAGCACAATTCTAGCATGAATTAACATGTTGTTAGCATGATTCTAGCATGAATTAGCATGTTGTTAGCATGATTCTAGCATGAATTAGTATGTTACTAGCATGATTCTAGCATGAATTAGCATGTTACTAGCATGATTCTAGCATGAATTAGCATGTTGTTAGCATGGTTCTAGCATGAATTAGCATGTGACTAGCATGATTCTAGCATGAATTAGCATGTTGTTAGCATGATTCTAGCATGAATTAGCATGTTATTAGCATGATTCTAGCATGAATTAGCATGTACCTAGCATGATTTTAGCATGAATTAGCACGATTCCAGCATGAATTAGCATGTTGTTAGCATGATTCTAGCATGAATTAGCATGTTGTTAGCATGATTCTAGCATGAATTAGCATTTGACTAGCATGATTCTAGCATGAATTAGCATGTGACTAGCATGATTCTAGCATGAATTAGCATGTTGTTAGCATTATTCTAGCATGAATTAGCATTTGACTAGCATGATTCTAGCATGAATTAGCATGTGACTAGCATGATTCTAGCATGAATTAGCATGTTGTTAACATGATTCTAGCATGAATTAGCATGTTACTAGCATGATTCTAGCATGAACTAGCATGTTGTTAGCATGATTCTAACATGAATTAGCATGCTACTAGCATGATTCTAGCATGAATTAGCATGTTGTTAGCATGATTCTAACATGAATTAGCATGTTACTAGCATGATTCTAGCATGAATTAGCATGTTGTTAGCATGAATTGGCATGTGACTAGCATGATTCTAGCATGAATTAGCATGTTGTTAGCATGATTCTAGCATGAATTAGCATGTGACTAGCATGATTCTAGCATGAATTAGCATGTGACTAGCATGATTCTAGCATGAATTAGCACGTAACTAGCATGTTTCTAGCATGAATTAGCATGTTGTTAGCGTGATGGATAGATAGATAGATAGATGGATGGATGGATGGATGGATGGATGGATGGATGGATGGATGGATGGATGGATGGATGGATGGATGGATGATGATGATAGATAAAAACAGTTTATAGATAGATAGATAGATAGATAGATAGATAGATAGATAGATAGATAGATAGATGATAGATAGATAGATAGATAGATAGATAGATAGATAGATAGATAGATAGATAGATAGATAGATAGATAGATAGAGATAGATTAAAGCAGTTTATAGATAGATAGATAGATAGATAGATAGATAGACAGACAGACAGACAGACAGACAGACAGACAGACAGACAGACAGACAGACAGATGATAGATAGATAGATGATAGATAGATAGATAGATAGATAGATAGATAGATAGATAGATAGATAGATAGATAGATAGATAGATAGATAGATAGATAGATAGATAGATAGATAGATAGATAAAAACAGTTTATAGATAGATAGATAGATAGATAGATAGATAGATAGATAGATAGATAGATAGACAGACAGACAGACAGACAGACAGACAGACAGACGATGATAGATAGATAGATAGATAGATAGATAGATAGATAGATAGATAGATAGATAGATAGATAGATAGATAGATTAATGCAGTTTGAAAAAGTATAGATAGTTTTGAGGTCACAAAGTTAGATCTATTGTTAAGTCAATGACAGTCTTTTGCAATAAAAGTCTATGGGGCAGTTGTTGCTAGGGTGCAGTATCTGGTAGTTAGGGTGTGGCTAGAAAGTTTAAAGCTCATCAGTTATTGGCAGTTTGGTAGTCTGAGTTAAATGAGTCCAGCTATTAGTCTGTAAGACAGTCTAATGCAGAGTTATGAGCTCACAAAGTTTGATCCCATGTTAAGTCAATGAGAGTCTTTTGAATGGAAGTCTATGGGACAGTTTCTAGGGTCCAAAAGTGGTTGCTAGGGCGTGGCCAGAAAGTTAAAACCTCATCAGTTATTGGCAGTTAGATAGTTTGAGTAAAATGAGCCCAGTTAGAAGTCTGTATGACAGTCTGATGCAGAGTTATGAGGTCACAAAGTTTGGTCCAATGTTAAGTCTATGGGATTTTTCCGACGGTCCCGGGACGTTTTTCGGAAAATCGAAAGTCGGATCAGTCGGAAAAGATATGGCATACCGAGTCAGAATAGTTTGGATGTCTGGTGTGAGTTTGGTGGTCATAGCTCGAAAGCTCTAGGAGGAGATAGATTTTGAATTTTAGTCTCAGAAGAAGAAGAATAATATATAAAAAAAATAATAAGTTTAAATAGGATTTCAGTAGTCTGGCTTGTTTCTCAAGCCAGCCTAATTACAATTAAGTTGTGATTCAAGCTAAGTCAAAATCTCTTAAAAACTATAACTCACCCAATATGTATTTGGATCCTAATTGTCGAAGATTTTGGAACTGGAAGTAAATGTAAACGATTGCTATGCATCTTGTGATTGTCAGGATGATGATATCACTGCTTAGGATTTGCTGGTGACGAGACAGAGAGAGGAAAACTTAGTATTTTGTTAGGTTAAACTTCTCTTTGACTGCAGGCATGTCATTTATATGCAAAAATTACTTTCCTTACTAAGAGTTTCTGTCTTATTTTTCCTTTATTTAATTCTTAAATAAAGGGAACATTTTCAAGACAAGCAAAAAACAGTGTCTTGGTTTTAGAAAATATAAGACAAAACTAAACAAGTTTTTCCTTAAAATAAGCTAATTAATCTGCCAATGGGGTGAGTAAAATAAAATATTGTTTTTGCTTTATAATAACTTTACTTTTCTTACCCCATTGGAAGATTATTTTCTTGTTTTTAAGCCAAAACTAGACTGGACTAGAAACAATACCCTAAGTAAGAAAAGCATTGTTTTGGCAGTGTATTTCCACAATGACCTGCTTTACCTCATCTAGTTTGGGGCAATCAAAATTCCAGCCACAAATCTGGTTATTTCCAGTGAACATATTCATGGACATCATGCAGATGGTAAGGGTTACGGTAGCCACAATGACTTCCCAAGGGTGGGAGGCCACGAAGAGGCCGTGGATTCGGAAAAGTCTCGTCAGCATGGTGAAGGTGTGTTACAGTCACTTACTGGAGAGTAGAAAAAAGAAGAAACTTGTTAAACAGGATTACAGTAAAAGAAATGTGAATGACACTCATAATATTGCAGTTTAATTAGTAGTATGAAATGTAAACCACAACTGGAATTTCATGAGTGTAAAACCATGCACAAAAAAACATTTTAAAAAAATTTAGTTCATGAAAGAGACACTCACTCACTTGCTCTGTACTTTGGCTTAGTGCCTGATTTATCAGGGGTCGCCACAGTGGAATGAACCACCAATTATGAAAGAGACACTTTTTAGAAATTAAAGTTTAGTTAAATTTAATTTTAAAAATTAAATTCTTGAGATACTTTTTTTGCCTGTGTGACCTTGTATAGTTACGATACCATAATACATTCCGTGTGGTCAATGCACATAAGTATGACCAACAGTTCTATCTGGTTCTGTATTTACAAATTTGATTATGATAACCAAATGCTGGATAACAATGGCAGATTTAATTCACAATTATGTATAATATATAATATTAAAATAGAAATTACTTTTTTTAAAAATTGGGGACAGGGCAACCTTTTGAAAAATATTATATATTTTTTTAAATGATAAAATATGTAAGTATAACTTATTTTGTGAATTAATTATATAATATTTTATTATATATTTTTATTTAATAAGCTATATATTCATTTATTAATTTTCTTTTCGGCTTAGTCCTTTTATTAATCTGGGGTCACTACAGCAGACTGGACCATCAACTTATATATATAATAATTATAACTATATATAACTAACTTATATATTTTACATTTATGTATTTTAAGTTTTACAGATAATTATTATAGATAAATACTGAGATACCCAAAAACACTATCATTCGATTTTAAAATGTAACTTTTAATGTAACTTTTTATTGAATTAATTACAAGACTTATCAATATACGATTCTGTTTTTTTAGTTTAAAATGTATTCTCCCCCCCAATTAAGCTTAAATAAAGATCCTTTATTCTACATCAGCGATGATAAACCAGATGAGTCACTGATGCAATCATACTGCAATAAATTGAATGAATATCCACATTAGAAACCCAGATCTTTTAACGACACTGAGCTCAAATAAAAGCTGCAGCTGTAACGTCAACGTTAGATAGAATCTGATGCAGGTACTTACTTACCAGTGCGGTTCAATGAGGGTTAAAGAATTAGTTCACCGAGAGAAAATCACTGTGCAATCCTCCGCCGGAATAAATAAAAGCCTATAGATATTTTCACTGTTGTAAATGAGCATTTATGATTTTCAAAATTACAGCTGATGGAATAATTAAATGCTGACGAGATTAATCCATATCCCCTCGTTTGAGACAGGAATCCAGCCCTTAAACCGGCATCCTCATCTAAAGCTTATGAAGATGGCATGGCTCTGCGTCAGTCGAGCGAGAAGCCAATCAAATTCTCGAACCACACCGATTCGCGAGAAATCCACGCCCACTATTCCAGCCAGCACTGATAGGGGCGTGTCCTGACAGAGGACGCGTGATCTGGCCATCCTTTGAATTTGTATGAGGTGTGTGTGAACTTGAACCTTGGCACAGCCTTGACAAAAAAAACGGCCTTGGAAATGTAATTAATTAACAACATGACATACAAAAAGCATATTAATTAGTCTTGAGTAATTATATATGCATAAATAACAACACAATAAAGAAAAATAAAGTTTCTGAGATTATCTATTAATAATATTTAAAAAGCAGATATTTTAACCACCTCTTTTTAATGCAAATTAAACAACATTTATTATACATGCAGTGTTTGTTTACTTTTTTGCAATGTGAAAACATACCCAAAACAACTCTTCCCAATGTATGTAGCAAATTGCATTGTATTGAATCAATCAATCAATCTATAATAAAGTAGAATTTAAAAAAATATATAAATAAAACTAGTCATATTTAAACTAAATGAGGCGCTTTTCATAATTACACATAAACTTGAAGTTTATAGGAAAAAAATAATTTTATTTAGCAAACATTAACTGAAACATTCTAGATCTTCTAGTAAAATAAAACCAGTATACATATATTTTCTTATTTTAAATAAATGATTTATCTAATTAAATAATTTACGTAATAAAAATTGTGTATACTTTATGTATTGTGTAATATCGTATTACGTATAACAGTCAATGCATTTCAGATTTTTAGATTTTGATTTATGTAACCAAATACATCATAGATCAGGCCCATGCATGACATCAAACGTGCCACTGACATAATTTGTCTCAGATCAAAGTTTGCATGTATTTTTATTCAGCATCAAAAGTGTTCATTACTTTACAGTTGTAGAAATACTGCGCTTGAAAATAAACAATAAAATTAATCATAATTATTATTTTTGAAGTAAATGTGCTGTTTGTTTTCTTAAATATTTAAATGTTCAAATTATGGCATGTTGTTATATTATTGTATTATTGAAATAAAATTAATAATACAACTATTATAGTAAAATACTAGTAAATAACTAGTAAAATAAAACTAGCATATATATTAAAAATAATAACAATTAATTTAAACAAGTACTGTGTTTCCTTACTCTTTAATGTGCAAACACTCCCAAAATCAAGCTTGGTAATTGTATTTGTATTATTATAATTTTAATAGGCCTACTTTGAAAAAGTAAACCAATCTTAAAATTAAAAGTTTATTATTAAAGAATTTGCCATGTTATGACTTTTTTCAAATCTTTTTATAATCAAAAATATGTTTTTATATAAATGTATAAAAGATATTGAATATTAAATCATCAATCAATCTATTTAAAAAGTTTTTCCAATTAATTTCCATCAGACGTCAGTCATCCGTCTTCATGCCTGCTGACCAATCAGATATGAGCGATCAGCCCCATTTGGCGCCAAGAAACAGAGAAACATTGTGTAACGTTGTCGTAAATACGATTTCTTGTCGAATATTCCTAAATTACCGTCACACGTTTATGTAGAGTTTTACGCCGTGTTGTTTAACACTAAGAAACATGGATTTAGACCAGGAAGAAACAATCGCGACCGACGACGACAGCGGTGAAGTAAACGGGAGCATTTACCTCCGCAGGTCAGCTGATCGTTTGCTAATAACTCCGTTTATGAATTAAATGTAATTTGCTGTGGGTAACGATGGATAAACTTATCATCGCAGGTTAATGTTGACAGGACATCAGTCATCGTCCTCAAACGTCGTGTTCTCTGCTGAAATGAGTGAAGGTTTGGTCATTTAACGTTAACATGTGTTCAAGATCAACTAACGTTATTAACTTACCTGACTAATGTAATTTAACAGTTACTCATTTAATATATAGCTTTAAAGTACATAATATGCAGTATACACCAAGCAGTACGGATTTACTAGTAGTTTAATTAACGTTAATTAAAGCTTTTGAATCGGTTTAAAATGATTCATTCAGTTTGACATAAATCAGTGAATACTAAGTTAGACTGTGCTGAAGTTTTCAAACGTAACGTTACATGGGAACTTTAACATTTCACTAGTGGCGACTCTGTGAGTGAATTATTGAATCATTCATGACCAAATTCATCCATATTTATTATGATGTGTTTACTTAAACGAATTGTTCAAAAAAAAAACTCTGATTCACTAACAAAATACCCAGTAGCAGAGAATTTCAACCACAAGTGTGTTTTCCCTTTTAGCCCTTTCATAGTGTAGCCAAAAATTCAAATTTGCTAAGTGGTTTCTTTTATGATGATGATGATGTTGAACACAAAAGAAGATCTTTTGAAGAAAGCTGGAAACCATCCATTAACTTCCACAGAAGGAAGATAAATTCTTTTAAGGTGAGTGGTTACTTTCTCCGAATATCTTCTTTTGTGCTCAAGAAAGAAAGTAAAATAGGCTTAGAATGGCTGGAGGGTGAATAATCAAAGACTTAATCACTGTAAGTCTGGGAATTTTCTAATGAACGTTCAACAGATTTCCTACAAAAAAAAACATGATTATTGTAGTTAAGACCAACCACAAATAACCTATAGATATACTTTATCAACCAAAGTTTAACTGTATTTCTAGTAAAATTGTGATCAGTGAACCCACCAAACATGGTTACAACACTGTAATAAAACCATGGAAAATGATAGTAAAAGCACAGCTTGTTACATTATCTCTGCAGTACAACCAATGTGAGAGTTATTAAATGTCACAGTGAAATGGCACCTAAACAATAAACTTTAACATTCAATACCTCCTATATTTTTTGTGCTGCTTAGTGACATAAAATAAAATAAGCAATATATATACATATATATATATATATATATATATATATATATATATATATATATATATATATATATATATATATATATATATATATATATATCAGCCCCTCTGTTTATTTTTTTCCCCAATTTCTGTTTAACGAAGAGACAATTCTTTCAACACATTTCTAATCATAATAGTTTTAATAACCCATTTGTGATAACTGATTTATTTTATCTTTGCCATAATGACAGTAAATAATATTTTACTACATTTTTTTAAGACACTTCTGTACAGCTTAAAGTTACATTTAAAGGCTTAACTAATTAGGTTAACTAGGCAGGTTAGGTTGATTAGGCAAGTTATTGTAGTGGTTCTGTAGATTATCAAAAAAAAAAAGCTTAAAAGGGCTAATAATTTTGTCCCTAAAATGGTTGCTCTTCTGCCTACCTCGGTTGTAACGAGTGGTTATTTGAGTTACTGTTGCTTTTCTATCAGCTGGAACCACACTGTTAGACATTTCTGTAAATTACACAGTTATTTACTGTATTTCACCCAGTGTAATACTGCAAATTCCTTTTACGGTAAATAACTGTATTTACCGTTGCATTATGGGAATTTAGTGTGACGTCGAACAACATATACAGCGATGTACTGTATTTGTAAAAATTCGTGTATTATACTGTATTTTCCACAACTGCTTCAACGCCACCTTGCGGCGATTCGACTACTCTGCACCACTTTTTGCCTGAGGACCCTGGAGCAATTCTGGAGGACAATTTATTAGTGTGCCTGAAGAACATACTGGATTTAACAAACTTTACTCTGGTAAGCTGAGGCAGTGTTTCATTTTACAGAATGTTTTGTGGACGAGAATAGAACAAAGTAAAGTATAAAGTTGGCTATTATTATTTTCTCTGGCTTGGCGTTATTTCGCCCATTTGAGAAATATATCATCTATTAAGATGTTACCTTTATTTAATTTATTACATTAACACTACTATTACTTTAAATAAGACTGTTTATGACTATTAGCCATTGTTCTCGTCATATCTTTTTATTTATTTACATAGGAACCGGTGTTGCAGCGGGTTTTGGTTTAGGAGGGAACCAGAGGTATGCAGACAGTTTTGGAGGACACTTAGCACGAGACAACGGTCCGGCAGAGAGTGTTTTCCCCCAGAAGAATATGAATGAAAGACCAACAAATAATCCAGGTAAAAGCGCGTCTGTCTGTGCTGACAACACTCGACATTGATTTGAGCACCTCTATTAGCATTTGTTTGCTCGGCAACATTGGCTGAAGCGATCTTAAAATGGTAATGTTAACTGTTAGCTAAACTGAGCTAAGTTTATACTGAATTGGGCTCAAACTCATTTTAACGTGCAACGTTTAACTTATATTGATTTATACTATATATATTAGATGTTGTGAACTTATTTTTCTCTGGTTTAGAGTAACTTATAACGTTAGCTTGAGAAAATAACATCGCGACGTAACCTATAAGAACGCTAACGTAAATCTATAACGTTACAATATGCATAGAGGTAAAGTTGGTTTTATATTCGCACATTTGTTCATTTAGAAGACTCTATACTGTTTACCATGTTACTTTGAATATTCGATCAGAATTAGCATGCCAGTATGACTTGAAATCAACATTAACACTGTTTATTTGACCGTGAGCATGTTGTACTTTGATAGTCATTAGCTGCTAAAATGATTTCGCTATTTAGAGTTTGCAAATAATACTTTTATGAAATTAAATTATTAAGGGGGAAGTCTGAATCTGCTAATATAAAACCAATTTTACCTCTATGCATTATGCTAATAACCACCTTTTTGCTATTTATTGTTTGCTAATTATTTTTTTTATCACAACTCTTGACATTTGGTTTAACATAATTGTTACCATTATATTTTTTTTCTGTTTAGATATGGCACTGGCACAGCAGCAGGTTTTGTCTGAAGAAACAAACAGCATTTCAGAGATCTTGATCAGCACAGCCTTATGCTTAAAAAATAAGCAAGACCAGTAAGCAACCAAGGTAAACAAATAAAAAAAAGTTGTGTGGAGGTTGTGGATTGTAGCATGGT